TTTTTTTTTTTTTTTTTTTTTTTTTTTTTTTTTTTTTTTTTTTTTGTACCTTTACAACTGACGTGGCCAAGGGTTTTACGTCCGGTCGAATTTCTCGGTTCTGTTGAACCGGGTCAAAATGATAATTTTAATTTCCTTATTTATTTTTAAAAAAAATGTGTATATTATATTTATATTTGTTGCTTAAAGTTATTTTATTTTCAAGATGGTAAAATAATGCAAATGAAAATTGCTCGATAAATAAATAATATAATATTTAAACACAAATATAAATATAATATACATTTTTTATATTATTATTAAGTTTGAATTTGTATTGATTTTTTATTTAATTATATAAATTTTTTAATCAGTGGTATTTTTATTATTTTAACTTAAATCTAATTATAAAAAAAACAGTCATATTTAATTATTAGTAATTCATAATTTTTATAAAATGGGCAATAACTACTTAACCTGCAGGTGACGTAAACTTTGACAGTCAACAACGTGGCGTGCTCTCATTAGGCAGAAAAATGGGCTTTCATACGCTCGGGTTCCACCGTTTTCCTCTGTACTCTACTTGAGCCTCTTCTTCGTCTTCGCTATCTCCCAAGTCGTAATTCCTGTTTCGCCATTACAGCCAGCTCTTGATTCGTCCAGTTAAGCATCGAAGCAGCTATCTGAGATGACGGAGGCCGCGATTCGGAACAAGCCTGGAATGGCCAGCGTCAAGGACATGCCGATCCTCCAAGACGGGCCACCGCCGGGTGGATTCGCACCCGTTCGTTACGCTCGCCGGATTCCCACCAAAGGCCCTAGCGCCATGGCGATTTTCCTTACTGCTTTTGGTGCATTCTCTTGGGGGATGTATCAGGTCGGCAAAGGCAACAAGATCCGAAGGTATGTGTTTTCTTCCCTTTTAATCCATGGTCTTTACCTGTTTCATCCCATTTCGCTAGTAATGGAATAATTGCTTTCTGAATCCGAGTTTCGTATTTTCTTCAAATTAAATGTTTCGAGTTTGCTTAGGATGTACTGGATTTCTGGACCTAGGACTTCCGTTAGGGATTTGTTGGTTCTTGTTGAAATTCGAGATTCATTCTTTGTGTTACGCTGTCTTGAATTTTACTGATTTTCTGCGTAGATATCTTAAAGGGAATTACTTCGGACGACTTAAGTTGATTCCTGGGTTTGATTCAGTTTCAAGCCAATTGAAGGAAGAATCAATACTTGCAAAATAACATTGTTCATCCATGAGAACTATTAAGGACAATGAACTTCTCCATAATCTCTGTCTAATAAACCCTCATATTTTTGCTTTTGGTTTCACCTCAATGAACTTCTCCATAAATCGACTTAAGGAATCGCTCAAATTCCTTCTGAGTTATTGTCCTGGCTTTGATGCTCAACTCCAGGCATCATACTATTGGAGATTTAGTTATCCTCCTCTTGAACAAATGACCATTGAGCCTCCTTTCAAGTAGTCATCTATCCATCTACTTTTACTCATGTCAACTCATATTCTCCAGAGCACACCACGCCTAGTAGAGCTCAACCACAAATTGTGGCTCATCACTACCCACCTGTTCAATTTTGGAGGTTTCTATCAACACGTTTAAGTCTGAGGCATGTGTTTGTTTGTTAAGGATGATAAACCTTTCTATAATACTGATGCTGATGCGTTTGGTTTTACTTAAAAAGCTTCGTACCAATGGAGTACTTATATACAATCTCCTCCTGTCTAGGAGAGGTGGACTTTGGTTGCACTCAACAAAATTGTCAAAATTAGTTACACTAAAGGTTTTAATCTTGACATCCGTTCACGTTTAGGGTTTAATTTGATAAAACTGAAAGTTAAGGATGGGGAGGAGAACGAATCATTCTTTATTAGGGTGTGGAAATTTCTCTCTATCATACGCGTTTTAAAAACCTTGAAGGAAACCCCGGGAGGGAAAGTCCAAAAAAGACAATATTTGCTAACAGTGGGTTTGGGCCGTTACAAGAAAAGTGTGCCCGTAGTTTCTTAGTACTTTGAAGGGTTGTTTACGGGATTGATATTTAGTATAAAAAAAGTGCCCGTAGATGATGTCATGCTGTTTCGTTCGACCCTTTGAATCTTCTTCGTCATGGTTGGTTTATTAAGTTTACATTACTCTTTTGATGCAACTACTTGTGAAGTTTATCAATGAGCCTATGCAGCATATAGCATATACAGGGCATTGGCCTGAATTCATTATATATTTTGTACTAATCTATTCCAGAGCACTGAAAGAAGAAAAATATTCAGCCCGGCGTGCAATATTGCCTGTACTTCAAGCTGAGGAAGATGAAAGGTAGGATGTGTGATGTATATGCCATTCCAAAGTGATCTATTAATCTGCGATGGCTTTGTTTTCCCGGTTATAATCATAATCTAACCGTGTTGTCGTGATCGCTTTCCAGATTCGTGAAAGAGTGGAAGAGTTACCTCGAATATGAGGCTGAAGTTATGAAGGACGTGCCTGGTTGGAAAGTGGGTGAAAGCGTTTACAACTCAGGAAAATGGATGCCTCCAGCAACTGGTGAGTTACGGCCCGAAGTCTGGTGATCATTTTGTTTTGAACAGACTTGACTCATTTTGTTTGAACTTGTCTGCTCTGCCAATGATCCTCGTATGGGTTTTGCTTGATTTGTTGGATCATAGCCTTCCTTATGATAATAAAAGAAGGGTAGCCCCATGAGCGTTCTAATTAACACGTGAGCGTTCCTCGCACTTGGTGTGAGTTGAATTGTTGATATGATAAATGACTATCTATTATTTGTATGGAGCATAAAAGGGTTTGAAGACATGTCATTCCTCTCGTGTTCGCCCTTTTATGTTGAGTTCAGTTTACTTAATCTAGCCGGTAATGATCTTAGTACTTGCAATGAGTTGAGGTGATTGAACTAGTGTAGGCCGTAACGCGACTTTATTCCTTAGTTCTTGAATCAAATTCAAACTGGCAACTAATTTCATATCCGATCTTGTCACCATGTGCATTGGTTAAAGTTTTTTCCTGTCATAATTTTCATTGGATGAAAATATTCACAAGGGTGTGTATTTTTTCAAGTGATGTAAGGTGAGATGAGCAAGTGAACTGGATGAATGAGAGCTTATCATAAGGATGGTGCTATCTTGTAAATAAAATATGAATGATCGGGTTAATGGGTTACTCTAGAAGATAAAACAAAAATAAATAAATAAAATTTTATAACTTTATGTTTGGTTGGATTGCTCAAATAAAACGGTATATTTCATTAATATATTTGTTAATACTAATTATTATAAAACCCCTAAATATATTTACTTTCATAAAAAGAAAAATATTAAATATTCCACAATTAAAAAAAAAATCAGCTGAAACTCTAGATATAATTATTTTCATAAAAAAGAAAAATATTAAATATCTATAATTATCTCAACAATTCACAATTTAAGAAGATATCCAAAATAAGACTATAACTAATGTCTGAGCCCGGGTTCGAACCGGGGACCTCTAGTGTGTGAGACTAGCGTGATAACCAACTACACCACCCAGACTTTGATGTTCCGATAATTCCAATTTTATTTATTAATATTTAATCGATAAACTTTACACACAAATTTCTTTTCACTCATTTTGAATGAATAAAAATATATTTATAGATAGAATAATAAATTAATTAAGAATTCCATGCGTTTAGAATTTATAAAGTCTAAATTGTTTATAATAAATTAGCATTTAATTTTGATAAAGTTTCTTATGAAAAATATTAAATTGTTATAAATATGAAGGTATCTAAATTAAATTATTGGATGGTAAGGTTGGATACAAAAATTAAATTGTTCCAAAATAGAGTCTACAAAGTTTATACAAAAACTAAATTGTTCCATGGGTGAAGGCGCTAGAGATGTCATTGATAGTGGTAGTAGCGGTTGACGAGCGAGATAATGTAAGGGTATTTTGGTCATTTTCATATATTGTGAAAATTATAGAATGATTAAAAACTAATCCCTTCAAATTATAGAGTTTTAAAATTTACTTGTACATATTTTTTTTAATAACTTTTTAGTTCATATGTTTTAAAATTTGTCGATAGTCTAATTTACCAAGTGAAAAAAAAAAACGTACAAGAATCAGGGAAGGTCGGATACCATCTTCAGATGTTAAGGTCGACCCAATTGTATGGTTTAATAATTTGGGCGATGTGGAGTAGTACTCTTTCTCCTTGTTACTTAGATAGGTCGTTTTGAAAACATTTTGTCGTGATATGTTAATTAATTTTTAATACACTAAAAATCGATATTTAATTTGGATGATATGAATTTTTATAATAAACTTTAAAAAAATTAATTGTTATAAAATCGAGAGTACATGTACGAATTTTTTGAAGAATAATTTGGATTCAGAATAAATTTATAATTAAATTTTTTTAATTTCTAATTAATTTTAAACATTTCCCCGCCGCGAACGAACACAGGGAATGAAACACATGCTTGACGCTTCCGTTATTCTCATGATACAAATTTTTAAAAAATTATTATTTGTTTTGAAGGCGTTGGGGGAAATTTTTTTGACGCCACACCCAAATTACAACAGCAAAATCCGCAAAATTTTCCTTTGTAAGAACAATCCACCAACGCACACATACAGGGATCGAAGTTAGCAGAGGAGATCTGCCAGATTGCTGTTCATTTTCCCCCCACAGATCTCCTCTTGTCCGATCCGATTGGAATCCGCCTCCTTTTATAACTTGGGATTGTTTTCAACAACATTTTCCTCCTACCGCAATTCGTAATTCTTTCATTTTTTGGTTCTCCAATCAATTTCCTGACGGTTATCATGATTTTCGGTTTCCTTTTCTGCTAATTTAGTCTCGCAGTGTTTGGTTTAGATTCATTGTATTCCGCTCGGGGTGATTGGTTTGATTCCTTTTGTGGGGTTGTGTTTTTATACCCGGTAATGGTGTCGTCATAAGGATTTTAGGCTTCTTTGCGATTGTTTGCTTGAGCTGGGGATTGTTGTTTTGATGGCTTCGGCTCAGGTTTTGCCCAATTCGATGGCTGCGACTCGGAAATTAGAGCATTTGGAAGCAGGGAAGCGTCGGGTATGGATTCTTCTTCTCTCTTCTTTGAACGTTTTTTATTTGACACTATCGGCAATCGATGTAGAGATTCTGTATGCAATAGGCTGGTTGAGTTGGGATTAATTGACGACGATCGAACTGCTAGGGAAACGTTTGATTTTCATTTACAAATTTAGGGAGCTAACTTCTGTTATTTGCATTAGGAAATTTTTGGTTTCTGTATTATATAATATTCCCCTACACACACAGCTTCTTATATCTGTTTTGTGGAAGGGGAGATACGTCAATGCTGATGTTTTCCTTTGCTAAGTATCTGGCTGTAACTTGTTTGCTTGATGCTTATACTTTTGACTGAATGTTTTAAGCTGCGGGGTCGATATCGATTGCATCTATGATAGGGAATTGATCCACACCTTTTGGTGCTTGTTCAGCTTTATATCTGGATTATAGTAACTTACTTAGAGGATTGTAACGGATGTCTGATAGCTTTAAGCACGTTCCAGAACTTTTATTTTTTAATATACAAGTGTAAAGGCCTACCTAAAGAAGATTATGAAAAAGTTCTGAAACTTTTTTTTTCTGAGTACTTTCTATCATTAAATTGGCTGTTCTGTTGTGTCTACCCAAGGTTTTGACATTAAGACCTTATCTTTTCTATGCAAAAAAAAAAAAACATCACACATCATATGGATGAAGTAATTGGAGTGACAAATGATTGCGATAGCAGAAACTGGAGAAAGTGCTCCTTTTTCTTTTATCACTTCATTGATTCTTGTTGTATGTAAAATTTGATTACTTCCTTTTTCTTGCAGTTAGAGGAGTTCAGAAAGAAAAAGGCAGCAGAACGAGTCAAGAAAGCCGCACCACCAAGCCAAAACCACATTTCAGCTGGTGGTTCCCAGGAGAAGAAACCTTTAGAATCGGAGCATGCTCAACGAATTACAGATTCTGATGGAGCTACGACAACGAATGGAGCTGGCAGATCTGCTATTGAATCATCCTCTGTGGTAGTCAAAGATGACAGAAATACAAATAGCTTTCCTCAGAATATTGATCAACATGTCTTGAATGAAAGACATGCGGACTATCCTTTTACAAGAAATGGGGATGGAGCCTTGTCTGCTGAACCGGTGAAGCAACCATCAAATGGTCAAGGGCTCTCTGGAACCACACATGGTATTAGCGGAAACAAAATATTAGAGATAAATAAGGATTCCGGAGTTGGCTCCCAGGCTAGAATTCCGTTTGGGAGTGCATCTGGCATTGAGCAACACGCAAGTAAAGAGACCGATAATATTTTTGGTCAGTCTGCTCTCCGTGAGGTGGATGGACCACTCTATAGAAGAGATGGTCAAGAAAATTCTATACTTAAGAGCTCTGGTCCTTTGCATAAGTTTTCTGCAAATATTTCTCCACAGAATACTATCGGAGATTTACAATATACAGTTTCCAGTAGTAACAATATTTTGGCTAGTGGACATTCTTTCACGTCATCTAATGATGGTAATTTTGACTGGATTTCAATTTCTATATATCTTGTGATGTTTGATTTCGTTTTTCTTATTCTTTTTCATGTTCTATCCAGGGAGGATTGATGATAACGGATTGTTTTGTATTTTATAGGCTTCTTTAATAGTACACGTAGAAAAGGATATAGTTCCCAAGAAGTTGGGGAAAATGTGCACAGAACTTCTGAATTCATTGGAGAGCAGACATCTGATCTTGGACAACTAAAGCCCTTTGATGTAACTGATTTTACTAGAATCAAGCCTGCAAACATGCAGTCATCTGAATCTGCTGGTTCGAATACTGACTCGAGAAGCCCCTCCATCTATGAACCATCATACACAACATCATCTGAAAATAGTTTTAGGAGGTCTCGCTCATCGTTTCTTGATTCTCTTACTGTACCCAAGGCTCCTTCAGGGAGTTTTCTTGGGCTTGCTGAACATGATAAGGGATCTAGAATATCTGATGGGTTTAAAGCAAATGAAAAAGAGGCTACAATATCCTTCTCTTTTCAGAATCTTATCAAATCTGATGGGTTCAGAACAAACGAACGTGATGGCTCAGAGTCATTGCCTTTTCAGAAGCCATTAATTGATATGAAAACAGCGGGAATATCCTCAAAATTTTCCTCTCAAAACACTCCAGTATCATATAGCAATTCCTTTCCTCCTCCAGTTTTTGTTGCTAAGGGCGTGGCCCAGCCAATTGTAGGGATAGAGGAGGATAGTATGCTGGAGAAGAAACACGAGCTTTATTCATCCAAGAAACATGAAGATTTTGCTGCTTTGGAGCAGGTACTTTTATATTTGGTTGTGGTCATTGAATCGGGAACTGGTCCATCTAATATGTAAATTTGCAAATGCCAAGAAAGATTATATTATGTTCTTTTTGAATTTTTATTTAAATCAGTTCACCAAAACTAAAAGATAATTTATATGTGTTCCTGTAGTTGCAATTGGTATGGGGAAGGACTGAGTTTTGGACCCTTTCTACAGTACTTCCAACTAGAAAAGTTAACGAGTTGAGAAAATTATGCAGTTATATTTTACATTTGTTTTTCTGTATAGAATCAAGTATTTCCCATGTTTATGTAAACTCGAGTAGTCTTTTTTTAATCATTATCATTATAAGAAACAGTTTTATTGATGATATGAAATTACTGCAAGGAGTGAACTCCGATCCAAGTGAGTTACTTAAAATTGAGAATTTAAAGTTTGTGTTGCTGCATACCTTCACTTGAAGGAGCACACAGTCTTATTTCCTTTACTTCATTATTTTCATGTCATACTGAGATGAGTCCTCTTGC